CCACATTTCTCCTCATAGAGCCCAGCCTCCCGGATAATCTGTTCTGCATACAGGTTGAAACGGTATGGAGATAGGCATGCATCCCTGGCATACAACCTTTCCCAATTTTGAACCATGCAGTGTTGCCCTGCTCTGTTCTGATGACTGCCTCCTGGTCCAAGTATAGGTTTCGCATTAGCATGATCAAGTGTTCTGGGATTCCCATTCTCAGAGTCAGCCACAGTTTATTATGATCCACACAGTCACCAAGAGAATACTGCATGATTTAACATTTTCATGACCAGTGGGGCAAGGATGGTGCATGTATAATCATTTACCTCTTTTTTTTTCTTTTTCATTTACCTCTCTTCTGTCCTAGGTGCTGTTGTTTCCCTTATAGCACATGTTAACAGCTTTGAAAGGAATATTTATAACGGAAGAAATATTTGGTGTCAAATCATGACATTTATTATTATTAAGTGCCAGTGAGTTGGCACACTGTGAACAACAAATTGGAATCTTGCCCTATCCTTCATCATCCTCATGGTCTCTGATATGCCCAAGCCTATTGTTACAGTCACTGTGTCAATCTGTAAAAACAGTGACAGTAACATGGAGAAAGCCAAGTCTAACCTCGACTAGCTGCACAAAGGGGAACTGTCCCCATAAACAACATCCAAATTGTAAATCTAACTTCTCTAAAGTCAGGGATGGTCTCTCATGCTCTTCACCTACTTCTACTAACTTCAACACCAATTTTATTGCTCTGCTGGATCCAAAATCCATTACATTAACCACACAAAACTTTACAGAACCATACTCACAGTTGTGGGTTTATTAGGGAAGTTAATATGCTATAGATGTACAGAAATTATGTTAGTTATAGAACAGAGTTCTGTACAGAACTGGTATTAGTTATAAAACAGAGTTTAGGTCTTTTGTGCAAAACTTAATCTCAGTCATATTCGACTTGATGACACTTAACCACTGTTAAATGAAACAAGTGCTGTTTATATCTGGAGGAACACTCTTCCACTTTGTAAATCACTCTTTGTCAATTTTCAGTATGAAGTAACTTGGGTTGCTGTGCTGCTGAACCTTGTACCATTGGGGTATCAAATACCAAAATGGTTTCCCAATGTGAACAGTGTTTGGTGGAGCTCCCAGTTGTAAAACAGGTTTGGAAGCAGGAGTGGCATCCACTTCCTAAACCACGTGCCTCTGGAAACTCTATGAACTTGGAATTAGCGATAGTTGTAGAAAGGCATTAGGTCTTTTGTTCATAGAGTTTGCTATGAGTCACACTTGACTCAGTGGCAATCAATAATAATAACAATGCGCTATAGTTCAAGTTGGCAGCTGAAAACAATCTATCAGTCCAGACAGCTCCTCAGATGTGCTCACCAGCCCTTTGACCTTCAGCCTATGGCTTAGATAGGTGTTACGAAGTTACCTCAGTCTTCCCCCAAGCTTAGGTGAAGGCCTCTGGCTCTGGCTCTGGCTCTGGCTCCACGGGGCAGCAGTCCCAATTCGGCTGTGCCTCATGTTGGTATCTGGTTCTCTGGGGAAGCTGCTGCTGTTCTGGCTCTGGCTCTGGCTCCACGGGGCAGCAGTCCCAATTCGGCTGTGCCTCATGTTGGTATCTGGTTCTCTGGGGAAGCTGCTGCTGTTGTTGTGTATATCTCAGTCTAGCTGGCACAGAAATATCCAGCCCAAAGGATACACACTGTACTCCCTGGTTACTATTTCCTACTGGTTGAGATTCCCCATTTCTGCTACTGAACCCACATATTTTAAATGTAGTAAGATAGTGATACTGGTCAGTCCCTTCCTTTATAGACAGATCAAAACCCTATCTGTTTGATCCTGCCCAGCCAGTTGGTAAAGTTAACAGCTAGGAAAGTCACTTTGAACAATAAATCCTTGACATCACGCAATCCACATCCTTGATGATTATCCTCTCCTTGGATAACTCTAGCTTTCCTAGCATTGTGCATTTTATCAAAGTATATAAGACAAAGTTTCACTATCCCAACCTCTAAGGAGTACCCTGGTTGCCTTTCTTCTGAGATAGATTTGTTTGTTCTTCAGTTCACGGCATATCAGTAGTCTTCACCAACATCACAATTCAAGGACATTGACTCTTTTTTGATGATCTTTCTAAAGATAAAAGATGGTAGCCTTCAACATAGCATACATATCAACATCAAGAAAACAAAAACATTCACCAGTAGACCAACAGGCAACATCATGATAGATGGATGGATGGATAAAAGATCAAAGGTTCCCAGGATTTCCTTTTACTTGGATCCACAATCAGTATCACTGGCAGCATCAGTCAAGAAATCAAAAGACATGCTATACTGGGAAAATCTGCTGTCAAGGACTTCTATAAATTGTTAAAGAACAATGATATCAATCTAAATGCTGAAATGCACGTGATCCAAGCCATTTTCAATGGCTTCCTATGCATCTGAAAGTTGAACAATGAATAAGGGTCATAGTGATTAGAAGGTATTAGATGAGGAAGTGTATTCAGAGGAAGTATGAATATGTGAGCTTTTTGCAGGTCTTTTTGCATTTGTACATAGTGAGCTTTGTGAGTATGTGTATGGTTTTCTGTGTGTCCTTTGGGAGTTGTGGTTTTAATAATGATATAATTTTAAGTGAAAAATTCTTTTTAGGCTTAATACTATATCTTTACACAAATCATGTGTGCCTTCTGTTTATTTGCTACCCACTCCCTACCACTTCTTCCAAATGTTTTTGTAAACAATAATTGTGCTAATTTTTATTTATAATGCCATGTTATAATGGGCAGAGGTAACCAGCTTTCTTTCAGACTTGCTCTTATTAGGAAGCTCTCAGTGGACTCGGAAATCAAAAGTATTGTTGAACAAACCAGGAGTAAGCAGAGTGCCAGATGAAGTCTATCTGAAACAAGCATTTCTCTGTCAAATGGACAGAGGATCAAGAAAGTAATGTGGACAATGCAGCACTAAAGAGACTGAGATCCCAGTTATATGCAACCATTGCCAGTATGAGTTACTCTATGTTTCCAAATGCTTCACACAATAAATTGGAAAAGAATAAATTCTTTTTCTCATGCCTCATCCTGCCTACCTTACCTCCAGAATCCAAAGGACACGGATCTCTTACACATTTTTATCAAAATCTCTTTTCCAGAACAAATTTTAACAACACTCAATTATTCTGCATGCATTCTATTGCTGAAAAATCTTATAGCTACCATATCAAACAATCATAAAATAGTTTGGTTGTAAAAGTGTTCCAAACAGGATAGGTATGTATCAGACTTATAGCCTTTCATCATGTTAATTCTGTCTTTATGCTTAGAAAATAATCCAAGAAGCTGAACTATATGAGATGGAGCTCAGACACAGGTCTGGAAGAACTCATTAAAAGGGTGTAATATGCAGCTGCACAGTGGAGTGAACTTGGGGGGAGGGATTGCATAACAATGAGAGAGTTTTACTTTTCAAGGAGAAGAGTGAACTGGGGGGGGGGATGGGCAGGGAGAAAAGTGCAACCATGAATAAATGGAAACCCTAAGTCTCTGTAAACTTTAGTTAAAATTCATTTTTTAAAAAAGAGAGAAAAAAAGAACTCTCAATATTAAACTCTAGTTAAGAATTTTTAAAAGGGTGTAATATGCAGCTGACACAAAGAAAAACTGAAGCACTTACTATTGAAGGGCAAAGATCTTCAGTGTGGATTGTATACTGAAAAAAATGGAAAATCCTCACAACTAAACCAATAAACAACATCATGATGAGTGGAAAAAAAAGATTTGACTCAAGGACATAGAGTCTGGATAAGCAAGGTATGCTCACTGCCATTGGCTTGATTTCAACTCACAGTGACTCTATATGAGGTTTCCAAGGCTATAAATCTTAATGGGTGGGAAAAGACTTTCTTTCTCAGAATCAAAGTTTTTTTGTTAGAAGTAAAATACAAAGTACACCCCCAGAGCTCCTTTAAGCAACATTAATTATGGTTAATTGTGCTTATTTACTAATCTATAGTGAACAGTTCTACCTGGTTTTTACCACATGAAATCTATGTGAAATTGTTCATTACAAATTAGTAAGCAAGCACAAGTAAGGCCATTTTTATCTCACTTGTCATAAACCAGTGAATTCTGTGCTTTCTGATTAATCTGCCCCTGGATTGCACAGTGGCTGCAGCAATGAACTAAACACAGCAGCTGAACTGAAGCAATGAACTGGAACATAGACTCTATGAGTAGAAACCAACTCAGCATTCAATAACAGCAGTAGGCCTTAACTAGGATGACAGCAATCTATTGGTATCCCATTGATTCCTTGGGTTATAGATCCCTTGCAGAGAATGGGAATCCCAAGGCATTTAACTTAATTGTGCTCCTGGGAAACCTAGACCAAGCCCAAGAGTCAGTTGTGCTAAGAGCAGAACAGAGCAAGGAAAGACTACATGATTTAAAATTTAGAAGGGAGTGCACTGGGGTTGTATTTTTTCTCCATACATATTCAATCTGTATGCTGAGAAATTATCCAAGAAGCTGGGCTTTATGAAGAAGAATGTGGCATCACGATCGGAGGTAGACTCATTAATAACCTATGTTATCCAGATGACACAACTTTGCTTGCTGAAAGTGAGGAAGTCTTGAAATACTTGTTGCAGAAGATCAAAGAATACAGCTTTCAATACGGATTGCATCTCACCATCAAGAAAACAAAAATTCATCATGAACAGGCAACATCATGATAGATGGAGAAAAGACTGAAACTGTCAACAACTTCATCTTACTTGGATTCACAATCCCTTGGTACCACCAGTCAGGAAATCAGGAGACATATTGCTCTGGGAAAATCTGCAGTCAGGGACCTCTCCATGTTATTTAGGAGCAATGATGTTAGTTTGAGGACTAAGGTGCATCTGATTTAGGCCATGGTCTTTCCAATCACTTGTATACAGCTGAGAGCTGGACAATAAAGACGACAGAAGAAATGATGCTATTGGAGAAGAGTACTGAACATTCTATGAACAGCCAAATAAACAAACAAATATATTTTGTGGAAACTACAGCCAGAACACTCCTTGGAAACAAAGATGATAAAAGTTCGCCTCACATACTTTGGGTATGCTACTAGAAGAGGCTGTTACTTAGAGAGGGACATGATGCTTGGAAAGGCAGAGCGTCAGCAAAGGAGAGGAAGATCCTCAACCAGAGGAATTGACAGAGTGACTGACAGGAAGTGTAAAGATGGCACAGGATAAGACAAGGTTCAGGTCTGTTATTCATAGGGTCACTATGGGTCGTATTTGACTCAATGGCCCCTAACAACAACAACAACATGATGATAGCTGGTGAGAAGGACATCACTGATGCCATATGTTCAGTACCCAACAGCATTTACTGTATACATAACCACCATACTAGGTCTTATTGAGCATAAGAAAAGTTCCTTTAGCATAGTGAGAACTACTTACATTCCAAAATTTATACTGTCAGGTTTCTTGGGAATTAGGGCATAAGAAGACATCAGTATTTTGAAAAATAAACTGAAATTCCCATGTACTTAATAGGGAAAGCCATCTGGATTTAATATTAACCATATTAGAACAGGGCAGGGTTCAGAGCTATTGTACATAGGGTCACTATGAGTTGCAGGTGACTCGATGGCATACAACAAGGGGATAGCGACTTTGGTAAATTTAAATGTTGATGTAAATGGGTTGGAAATCTTATACATGGTGACTAAAAGTTTTGTTACAAACAAAATGAATTTGCATAATAGATAATTTGAATGAGAAAAAAAGTTTATTCATTTCCATCTCTCTTCTTTAATAGAATGGATATTTTCTACCCCAGCATGAAAGCTATAGCCAGGCAGATGGGGAAAGAAGATGAATTTGAAGGACTTATAATAAATAATCAGCCTATTCTTCCCCCCAAAGGAGCTTCAGAAATTGAAATAAAAACTCAGCAGGTATGTAGGAGCTATTTTAAATTCAGCTTTGACAAATTGCTTTGTGACATTAGCATTTAAAACTACAGATATGCCCAAGTGATGTTTTTCTAACAAGTTAAGTACAAATTGAAGGTTTGTAAATAATTGAACAGACTCTGGGGGAGCTAGGTATTTAAAGGCATTTAAGGCTTTGGGTAAGCAAATAAATTCAAACAAAACAAAACAAAACCATTTGCCATTTAGTCAATCCCATCTGCAGAGACCCCATGTGGGTCACATTACAACTGTGTTCCACTGAGGTTTTGCAATCTTTTTTATAATATATATTATTTTTTTATTGTTTAACATTTTCTTCTCCCCTTCCCTGAGCCCACCCTACAATGCATCCCTTGTTCCAGATTTTGTCATACATATGCCTAATTGTATATTCCTTTCTGACAGTTCTTCCCCTCATCTATTCTATTGAAGTGTTTATTATCTGTCTACCCTTTCCCATTCTCTCCCCAACCCCCCCTAACTATGTCTGTCCTATTTTATAACAGCAGTGTTATGCAGTGTTTGCTCTTTGGAGACTGAGATATTTCACTTAGCATAATGTCCTCCAAATTTATGTTTTTAAGCTCCGCCTCACTTAATTTGGGCACGTGGCCAGGAGAGATCTGTCCTTGGAGAAGGACATCATGTTCAGAAGGATAGATGGACAGAGCAGGAGAGGGAAACCCCTGATGAGATGGATTTATACAGTAACTGGGGCAATAGGGGTTAGTGTGTCAGAATTAGTGAGATTGGCTCAGGACAGGGAAGGGTTCAGAGCTGCTATACATAGTGTCACTATACATTGCAAGTGACTCAATGACACATAGCAACAATAACATACTATGACAGGTTTGGAAGGAAGCATGTCTCCGGAAACTCTATGAACTTTGATAAATGCCGATTGTTGTCAAGGGGCTTCAGGCCTTTTGTTCATAGAGTCTCTATCAGTCATGCTCAAAGACAATCAACAGCAACAACAATGTCCTCCAAGCCCCCCCATGTTGTATAATATTTTACGAGTTCATTGTTTTTCAATGCTGTGTAATTGTAAAAAGAGCAAGGGCCACTTGGGGAGTGCCTTATCTGACCTTTACCAGTTTACAGGAAGAAACTATCCCCACCCACAACATTAGTAACACAAATCCAATTCTCATGCAGTCAGACATGTCCCCCACACTCTCATGCCTCCTCTATTCATCTTAACACGAATCTTACTGTTTGGCAGAGTCCAGAATTCCATATGATGGCTCACAGACCACAAAGAACCATATTGAGGGGGTTAAAATGTTATAATTCAGATTAATAACAAAATACAGTCAAGACAGCTCCCAAAATGTGCACATAAGCACCTCAGCCTTGAGCCTCATGGCTCAGTGCTCCCAAGTCCTCAGTCTTGCCAATACTGGCTTCTCCATCTACTTCCAATTGTCTAACAAAGGTCTCAGTCCTGCCAATATTGGCTCCACAATCCGGAAAGTCCCATCTCATATCAATTCTCTCCATTTCGGCCACCACTTAAGCTGCTGTCACCCCAAAGAGTGTCCTACATTTCACCAGGTTGCGGGAGGTCTCTCTTCTCTGGCTGGGCAAAGAATTCCATCTCTTTTGGAGGGGGTAAGAATTCTTGTCTACGCATCTAGAGCTTTTCAATTTATTGGCAAGAATAGCCAATCTCCTTGTAGCTTGGTGAAACTGACCAATCTTCTTGTGGAATGGTAGATAGCCAATCCCTTTGTGGATAGACCAATATGCTATATTTGCATAGTCCCACCCATCTGCATAACAACATCAAATAAGGGCTAGAGAAGTGATACTGAAATTCAAACAAAATAAAAGTCATTTGCCATTTAGCCAATCAATCTTATCTACAGAGACCTCATGTGGGTCACAGTAGAACTGTGCTCCACTGTGGG